TTTAAAAGTAAAATAAAAAGTATAAAAGTAAAAATAAAAAATTTATGTTACACGATTATTACCCTCGGTAGATTACATGAATTTTAAATCCAATAATTTAAAAAAACCAATTAAAAATATATTAAAAAATATAAAAATCACAATTTATAATGGGCCATTGATTCCTATTATGACAACTACTATACATTATGAAGATATTTTTTGAAGAATTTATCAATCACTACAAATCAACGTGACTTTGAAATCGTATATAATGCGATAAAAATGACTATACGACTATAAGAGCTTCCTTATTTGGCAATTTCTTAAGTGAAGTTTATTTCTTACTAATTTGGTATGAACATTATGTGTGTATGACGTATAACCTAATACGTACAACTTATTTTTTTATGTAATGTTTATGTAAAGGAATGTCAAAATGATTGTTTGTAAATAAAGAGAAAAAAGATTATTAATGAATTTTAATTCATTTCAATATAAAAATTGTTTGATAAAACGCATTAAATAAATTACGGAATTACAAAAAAAATTATAAAAATAAATTCTTTGGCTTTAGAAAACTAATTAATTGCAGTATGTAGTTATAAAATTTATAATACTGTATACACATAGATTGCACATATTGCACACATATTATTACATATTACGCATATATATATATATATATATTATTACATGTTACAAGTTTTATTTTTAATTTATTGTTAGGAAACATTAAAGGCAATTGAATAAAATAATTTTTGGAATAATTCTTTAAAAAAAATTTTCAATTTAAAAAACTTTAAATAATAATAAGATTTAAAGTTTGTATTGACATTTTTTTTTTTTTTTTTTGACTTTTAAAATAGTTTGTAATTATAAACTCCTCTCTTTAAATCCATTTTAGTAATTTATTAGGAAGTTAAACAATAGTATGAAGCTCGGTGTTCGTGTAACGTCTGATATCATTACAAAAACGAAGTCAGGACAATATTGATCGTCTTAGAGAATTAGAAACCAGAATTCAAGGTCTTGGTCATTTCCGCCTTGCTGTCAATCATCGTCAACTTGTGGGTGAAAATCCTGCTTGTCAAAACATAAACAAACCACCATCTTCATCAATTCGTAAAACATCATTAACCGTAGCTTCAGCTCCTGAACTACAATCAAAACGACATT